ACAGTGATTGCTGGACATGGGCACCGGCGACCCCCGTGACCCAAAATAGAAGAAGTGGGTAAAGATAATGGATGGATGGATGGAAAAAAGTATATCTATAAAATAAAATGAAGGCCCTGACAATGACATTTGTAGTAAAGTGACAAAGCAGCATATGAAGTGAATGTACACAGTATTTGTATGAAGTCTTTGATATTGGTCAGGAGGTAAAGAGATATATATATATATATATATAAATATATATCAAAAGTAGTGTAATATAAACATTAGTTTATATATACACTTATACACTGTTTATATACACTATACTTACGTGCAAACTTTTTGAACCACTGCAAAAGGAACAATAATTTTGCATTTTAATTGTTTAAGTCGTCTGAGCTTCCCATTATGTGGACAAACTTTTATTTTGAATAAGGTCTGTCTGTAACTTCGTCTGCCTTTATTCTGAAAGTTAGAACCGGAAACAGTAACTCTGCTCTCCGTTGCTTGCACGCGCTCGCTGTACTTTGCACGGAGTAGGTTATTGCCGAGCAACGGAGGAAGAGCAGGGAAGGCTAGGCGCTGTGGAGGCAGGGCAGGGCTCCACACACCCTCAGCACCGACACACAGCCCAAAACAGCAAAAAGAAAAAGGGTAAGCCACGACTAAACCTCGTTTAGTTTAGAAAATAGTCCAATATATAACTCGAAAGGAAATTTTAGCTCGGTAGTAGACCGCTTAGGTGAAGTTTATGGCAGCGAAAAAACGGAAACAGTCGATTTTCTGCTGCACATCTTGATGCCAGAGGATTTGAATGGTAATTACAAAATATTTGCCATGACATATTTGTGAAGCTACTTTTATTTTCAACCCATATAAGCTTATTGTACTTTTTAAAAAAAACATTTTTAGCTAGCCGGGCTGGTATCCTGTCTTGGAAGTAACGGCTTGTGTTAGCTAACTGGATGGCTACTGTGGGCTGCAGCATGACAAGCCTGCCTCCTTTGTATAAAGACCCAGCCTCACCACTTTGCTGCTTTTATTAAAACACTGGACACGTTTTGTGTTTTTCTCACTGGTTTTATTCACGTTAACATCACACTCGACTCCTTGCATCCTTCTGAGCCACGATGCACTTAAGTGAAGGTCGTTCACACATTGATTGGACGCTTTGTTTATCTTTTTGGTTAAAGGCGACCCTCAAGGCCCTCTTTTAAGTCCACGAATATAGTGTTTGAAGGGTTAATTTAATAAATGGGCTCAGTATTTTTTACAAATCTTAAGTGTTTGCCGATGTTGGACTCACCCCCCCACCCCCCATTTTCAATGTTTTTGTGGAGCAGATGTTGTTGGCCTACATCCTCTCTCTTTGTGTTCATTTTGATTTTTGCACCCATTATCACATCAGATGTCAACCATTGGGAATACAGTTTTAATAGGCCAGCTTTTACTATTTAAAAAATAACTGAAATTGTAACACTGCCTCAATAAATAGTAATAATAATAATAAAAAAAGAAGTTAAATCAAATGAAAATGGGAGCGTTTTTGTTAAATTGTTAGTTTGTGTTCAGCTGCTGTGGTTGAATCTAAATAGTAACGACTGATGCATAATGCATTTTGAAGGACGAGAACTGATAATAGTAAGTTATAAATTAGAAGTTCACAAACAAAACTGCTATACTGGTATACCCCGAGCTGAGTTAGTCATCTATATCCTTGGCTGCAAGATTTACTTACCGGTAGTTAGGTGCATGGAATACATACCATCCAGGCAGGTTTAGCTCCTTCACTTTTTACTCTGCCTTTTCCCCACTCCATTTAAATTCCTCTCTGCAAATGTGTCTGATGGCAAGTTGTTTTTTTCTCCACAGGCAGTTGCATTAAAAAAAACCCTGTCAGTGTCACAGGACGCTCTCTGTGCTGTCAAAGAGGAAGCAGCAACAAGCTAAACTGCAGCTCATCCTGCTTCTCTCTGGGCATATGAGCCACACAGCTGATCATATTTGTTCCTAAAATAATGTTGTCTGCTCAGTTTGGTCAGTTTGGTACTAGTTTATGTCCTGTAATAAGGTGACTATTAATTTTGGACAGACTGGGTGAATGCCTGCCTTTCAATTTGAGTTATACAGTCACAAGGAAGTTTTTTAAGTGCACTAATTTTTAAACTGTTGACCAAAGAGCAATGTTTTCTTCTAACTCTGGTGTAGCTTTTAGCTGTGGCTCGGGATGTGTTTGGGGACTGTTGTCCGGCCTGCCCATGGCTATTGTGTGAAGTAGGAAGTTTAGGAAGTGAAATCATTTTACTTCAGCGGATCAGCAGTAAGAAGGTATTATTTTTGACTGAAAACAACTTGGCTTGGAACTCCATATCTGAGTTTGTTCTTTGTATTTAAGACATTTTTTAAAATGGGCTGTAGTGATATATCATTGGTTAAAAATAGCAATAAATCTAATTTCTGTAATCTGCCATGGCACATTAGTGAGGTTATGATAGTGAGATATCTTCAAATCAAAGAGGGAATGAAAAGGGGTAAATAAATACATACTGTATGTAGGTTTATAAACTGCCATATACAGAAGAAAACAAGAGCAGCATGGAGTGACATGATCATCTACCTCTTCCTTGTTTTGGAACATCAAGGGTGTGTCATAGTTTTTCTTTTTCCACATTGAACTTCTCAAAATGAACAATCAAACAGACCAAACTACACATCTGTTGTGGGGTGTAACATACTATACTCCCCTCTGAGTTTCCTTCATTATGTGTAGTTCTTTCCACAACAGATATTGATCTTGATTGGTCCAGTCTCTATTTCCAATCTTCCCCTCTCCCTACCCTTGATTGTGTTATGCTTTTTTACCTCCCGAGTGCCAGTGTAGATTTCAATGTGAGAGAGATCACTATTTTTATCTGCTGTCAGAGCTATTTGCTCTGGACAGTGTAAATGTTGGTGCCATAATGATCATGGCAGGGTTGCTCAAAGACTAATGTTTCTGTTAAAGGGCCACGAGTCAGTCATTATCGACTCAGCAGGAGCCGCGCAGGGCCGCGAGTACTCTCAGCAGAGCAAATGTATGCCTAATGTACTGGAAAAGTCTTATTGAAGGGTACACATAAATGTAATTATATTAACATGTTTTAAATGAAGTGGGCAAAATGGTTTACAACCAATAAATTCATCCATCCATCCATCCATTATCTTTACCCGCTTATTCCATTTTGGGTCACGGGGGTCGCTGGTGCCCATGTCCAGCAATCACTGTGCGAGGGGCGGGGTACACCCTGGACGGGTCGCAAGTCCATCACAGGGACACATAGAGACAAACGAGACAAACAACCATTCACTCTCTCACTCACACCTAGGGACAATTTAGAGTTACCAATCAGCCTAACATGCATGTTTTTGGTCTGTGGGAGGAAACCGGAGTACCCGGAGAAAACCCACGCATGCACGGAGAGAACATGCAAACTCCACCCAGAAAGGCCCCTGGACCGGGGTTTGAACCAAGGACCTGCTCGCTGAGAGGCAGCAGCTCTACCAGTTGCGCCACCGTGCTGCCGACCAATAAATTCAGTAAGATTTTAAGATATGAATTCAGAATGCTCATTAAGTCTTATAATACATTTGGATATTAAGTGTTTTAAGTAAAATATTTAATACATAAATAGCTTAATGTTTCACAAAGAGCAGAATACAATGAAACGTGTTCATAAAGTGACATTTTAAATGACCCAATTTTTTTTTTTAACCTTGATTTCTTTAAGTGAATTTATCATGCACAATGACAGCTCTGTCTGCAGGGCATGTGCGTCATTATAAATGTGGATTGTTGACAGCACATGTTTTATGAGCTCTTTTTCATTACGAATGACGTTTACAAAATATTTCTATCATAGTTCCCAGTTTCATGCTTCATTTTTAATTATGCTCCCTCAGAATCATCAGCATATGAATTGTGAGAATCCATATGCAGGTCTGCAGGGCGGTCTGAACACATGGGAGGCAGAGCATGTGGTGGGTTTATGTCTTAAGGCCAGGGGGGATGTGCTTGGTAATAACAATGAAGCATCAGGACTCATGCTGGCATAATGGAGGTGTTTGCTTGTTTTTTTCTTGTTTTTTTTGCCAACTGTCCATGAGATGCGTGTGGCCGCTTTTCTGCACCATATGGTCTTTTTTTATGCTGCATTGGACAGTTTTATTTTTCACCACCGTGGTCTATGGACTATCCCTGTTATACATAAAGCTATAAATAGATATCCATTTTTTTTACAGGGCTTTGCTGACTTGTAGCATTTACTGGCACCATAATGATTTATTATCTCTCCCCATAATGGTCGGATGCTCCAGATTAATGTTGCATATATTTTTGGAGTAGCAGCATTATTAAAATAATTTTTAAAAATGTTATGTTCTCTAGAATAATTAGTTATTTTCCTTTGGTATCTTTTCTTCTTTTAATGTTTAAGTTGAACATTGTGTCAAAAGTACAGATTTAGAAAATCACTGCAATGTGACCCACTTGAGCCAAGGATCACATTATTTCTTCGTGTCGTTTGTTGTTCTGTTTTTGGACATGAAACTAATTCTAAATAATGCTACAAATCTTATTTTCTTCTGTTTGCACAAATGTGTACTGAAATAGTAACTTCTTCTTTGGGTCTACATGAGTTTGGAGGCTCTATGAGCATACTTATCCAAGATATGTGTCAGTATCATCAATTTTCACTCAGTAATGAGAGTTTATGAAGCATTTTCAAAGAAAAGACACTTTCATTGTGGTTGCCAAAATGTTTTGCTGAATTGTTTGAACAAGGTTCTTTGTTGCATCAAAACCAACAAATTTGCCCAAGATTTTTTTGCCACGTCCCAGCTGTACTTTATCGGTCAAAAAAGGCCAGTTTATTTCAAACATAACAACAAACTTACTTGAACGTTAGTCATATGTGATATACCAATTTATTTCAAAAAGAGGCACTTTGAAATGTCCCCGCTTTTAAAATGAAAAGTAAGATTGTGAAAGAGGAACAAAGAATCGTTTCAAAAAAGTGTTTAAGCCTCATCAAAACATAGCTCATATAGTTGATAAAATGTTGTCTTGTAAGTGTCTGATGTAGATCATAGGAAACCCTCTGGATAATGTTTCTTTGTCTGGTTTAAAGAGGAACAATAGACGCTGTTCACTTTCATGTCTGTAAATCTGTAGGAGAGCCGCCGGGGACGAGAGCAGTCTTTATCTCTGTCCAGAGCTCACTATCTCCTCTCAAACATTGTCTTCATTTGAACCTTTAGGGGTTTGTACACTTTGCTGTGTCCTGATTACCTCAAAGGTCTTGATTTGTACAAAAAATAAAAATAAAATAACATCACACTGTGTTATGTTATTCTCTACAATTGTCTTGATAATGGAGTTCAGTGTAATGTAGTTCTTTACTCTGTTTGGCCAGATCTTAGGTAATGATCAGTATCTATCGCTGCACATAGATAATTATTTTTCATTTAAATATTTTTGCAAAGCAGCTGCAATAACATATTTGAATGCAGGCGGCCAACCCCACCCTTACTGGGTGGAATTATAGCTAAGATCATGTGGAAAAAAGCATGACCAGAGAATGAGTTGTCCCTCTGTGCTCATCCGTTGCCTCCCTAGTTAACTCCTTTTATCCGGTTTCTTTCTTTTTGTTTAGTTAGCAGACAGTCTGTGTCTGCTTTCAGTGATGGAGAATCTGTTAAAGTTGTAGCAGTGATGTGATGACTGGGCAGCTGTTGCATCATCCTGTGATACTCCAGCCAGATGCTACGTGGAGAGCAGCCGTCTGCTCTGCCACAGGACACATATTAGTTGATGACCATAAATACTGACATCACTTCCTGTTCTTCAGCTAGCATTTGGGATTGGCTGGTTTAAAAAAGGAGGGAAGGGGTTTGAAATGTTTGAGAAAAAAAACAACAGAAGGTGGTTTATATAATTTCATGCGGGGCAACGGAAATAAAAGTAAGAGTGATGAGTCATGGCTGATAAATCGGATTATTCTTGTCTGTTTCATCTTCCCCTCTTATTTATCATTTTATCATTCTTATTATAATGAATAATCACACTGAGGCTTAGATTTGTGTATTTCTAATGTGCCTTTGGCTTATTTATTTAACTTGTCATATAATTACAATTTGCTATGTAAATTTTGTAATGTAGAAAAGCATATATAAAGCTATTGCACACATGCAGTGGATGCAAAGATGAGTGTCCTCAAGGAGAAGTGTTTTACATTCTCCCTGTCTCGCCACTGCTATCTTCTTCACACAAAGAATTCAGTCATTTTGGAATAATCCTGCTCTTTCATTCCTCATTGCACTCTGTGTGTATTTGTGTGTGCAGTTCTGGAGGCTGTGAAATTCCTGCCAATAACATGATGTCACAGTTTCTCCTTAGCCCCAGAGAGAATGCTGCTGAAAAAGCAGAATGCAACAAGAGTGATGGTTATTAACTGCATGTTTTTGTAAATATCTAAATAATGAACATTTGTAATACCACCCACAATTCTGAGGCAAACCGTTAACTTGCTTTGTTTTGCAGATGATCACAGAACAAAATTTATCATGTTGTACCTCTGCTCCTCTTTATTGCCACTGAACAAGATATTGAATGAGAATATAAAGAAATTTTAGCAATTTTTTTTGAATGAGCTGCACCATCAGAGCAAATTTAAAACCGTCTGTATTCCCTTCGCAGCTGTGCCTCCTCCATCAGACCTTCCTCTGCATTTCTCCATCTGTGCCCCGTCTTTCATGTGTGAAAGTCAGAGGTTGTTTTTAATGACACTGTAAAGGCTGGTATGCATCATTTCTGAGCTCCACGGCCACAGTCTTCTTAACCTTGCATTCTGCTTGCGAGTCTGCAGTAGTTATTTAGTCAGAGAGCTCTCTGACGATTTGGTTACAGTCGGAGGGAAACCACACATAATTGTGGTGCAAGAACAAAGCTGTTGCTATTTAGAAAGCCTAATGGGTCATTCCATCGCCTCTAAATGCAAATTCATGTTGTATGATAAGAGATTTGCTGTGAGTTTGTGAAAAAGTATAAATATATTTTGCTCCTTGACCAAAAACAGAATACATATAATCATGATTTTAGGAAAATTAAATGTATTTTTCCCCCCAGTTTAGCAGCATCAAATTGCTTGTTGCACTTTTTCTCAGCGTATCAAATTTCTCAAATATTCTGACTAGCAAAAAGTTGATCTGTTCCACATCAGAGACAGCTGTGGATACAGTCACGTTTCAAGCCTTGTCATGTAAGGAACTGAGGTGTGCAGCTGATTAAAATGTTACTCAAGGGATTATTGAATTGGTATACTAAGTACTTAAGAGGTCAAGTGAGCAAGAGCTTAGCTCAATAAACTTTAATTCTCTGTCTGATGGGCTTTTTCTTGGCACTTTATACTTACAAATGGGAGCTTTTGTTAGTATTGCATGCATAAATAAAACTTATTTAAATTTAAAATTAATAAAGATGCAAAGTTTGGAGTGTCTAAAATCCTTTAATGCAGCCTCTTCACTTTGCTCTGAGAAAGATTTCTTGGCATCTCGTGGCATTATAGAAAATTTAATTATGAATTTTACACCCACTCAGATTAGTCAAGCACCAATCACTGTACCGACTGTTAAACGTTTTAAAAGTTGTGTCTGTTTAGAAAAAGACACCACCACGTCACACGCACAACGGTTAGATCTTGGTTTTTCCAGGCCGGGGCAGTTAAAGCCTGAGACCTCCTTTTCAGCTCATCTGAAGAAGGGGAGGAGGGAAACGAAGCATTCTGATGGGTCGGCCGCCAGCATTCCTACATCACTTCCTCCTCTAACATCTGGCATTCATCAGAGCGGGCAGAGAAGAAGGGAGGATGTACCTTACTGGCTAGGCTAATGTTTATTTCTAGACTTTGATAGAGGTGTCACATTGCAAGACCGCCCAGTTAACCCAGTTCCCCCTGTGACCAAAACAAAACGAAGCAAGAGAGAGTTCTTTTTGTTTTTTCTTTGAGTCTATCTCAGTTCTGGCATATATTCAGCTGTCTTTTTTTGTTCTATTTTTCTTACAACGTTTGTTCAAATTACATTTTAAACTGAAGAAAAAATTTACCTGAGAAATCCTTTTCATTTTTTATTTTTTTTCAGGATGGCCTAGCTGTGTTTTATTGTCAGTGGACTATCAACTGTGAGCTACCTGGACCAGAGGCATGTAATAGAATTTACTACCAAAAAGTGTTATTAAAAAAAATACTTTTTAAAATAATTAAAGCAGCTCATTCAAGGAGTTGAACCTTGAACCTTTTCTAATTTCCAGTTAGTTTCTGACCAATCAGGACAGATTTTTCTCTTGAAAATATCCTAAGTTCATTGATTTTTCTACATATTTTGACACACTGATCAGAAAAATGTATCACTATGTAAACACTTTAACCAAATTATTGATATCAATTTGTGCATGTTAAAGAATTTTGCCATCACAATTACAACTGTAAAACAAGTTTCATCTGATTGCCATAATTGAGATTTGAAAGATGGCAACTTTGTGCTTTGAACTTTGGATTTTGTTTTTTCCTCAGAAGGTGCATATGAGAGTCATCAGCAGGGTGTAGAGATGAGTGTGACCTCCTGGTTCCTGGTGAGCAGCGGGGGAACTCGTCACCGACTCCCCCGGGAAATGATCTTTGTTGGCCGAGACGACTGCGAGCTCATGCTACAGGTGTGAACTTTCTCTACTGGCTCATGCCATCACAGGACACAAAAAGTGTTTGCTTTATGCTAAGATAAACATTCCCTTAGCTGTAAGCACTCTATATCTTTTTATTATTTTTTTTTAGAGAACTGGCCTCGGTGCATGTTTCTTTGTGTGTGTGTGTGTGTGTGTGTGTGTGTGTGTGTGTGTGTGTGTGTGTGTGTGTGTGTGTGTGTGTGTCATTGTGTGTTACAGTGCCTTGCGAAAGTATTCAGCCCCCTTGAACTTTTCAACCTTTTGTCACATTTCAGGCTTCAAACATAAAGATATAAAATTTTAATTTTTTGTGAAGAATCAACAACAAGTGAGACACAATCGTGAAGTGGAATGAAATTTATTGGATGTGTCAAACTTTTTGAACAAATAAAAAACTGAAAAGTGGGGCGTGCAATATTATTCGGCCCCTTGTTGTAGCGCCGCCTTTTGCTGCAGTTCCAGCTGCAAGTCTCTTTGGGTTTGTCTCTATCAGTTTTACACATGGAGACACTGAAATTCTTGCCCATTCTTTCTTTGCAAAACAGCTCGAGCTCAGTGAGGTTGGATGGAGAGCGTTTGTGAACAGCAGTCTTCAGCTCTTTCCACAGATTCTCGATTGGATTCAGGTCTGGACTTTGACTTGGCCGTTCCAACACCTGGATACGTTTATTTGTGAACCATTCCATTGTAGATTTGGCTTTATGTTTTGAATCATTGTCTTGTTGGAAGATAAATCTCCGTCCCAGTCTCAGGTCTCTTGCAGACTCAAACAGGTTTTCTTCCAGAATGGTCCTGTATTTGGCCCCATCCATCTTCCCATCATTTCTGACCATCTTCCCTGTCCCTGCTGACGAAAAGCAGGCCCAAACCATGATGCTGCTACCACCATTGGGGATGGCGTGTTCAGGGTGATGAGCTGTCTTGCTTTTACGCCAAACATATCGTTTTGCATTGTGGCCAAACAGTTGGATTTTGATTTCATCTGACCAGAGCACCTTCTTCCACTTGTTCGGTGTCTCCCAGGTGCTTGTGGCAAACTTTAAACAACACTTTTGATGGATATCTTTGAGAAATGGCTTTCTTCTTTCTACTCTTCCATAAAGGCCAGATTTGTGCAGTGTACGACTGATTGTTGTCCTATGGACAGACTCTCCCACCTCAGCTGTAGATCTCTGCAGTTCATCCAGAGTGATCATGGGCCTCTTGGCTGCATCTCTGATCAGTCTTCTTGTTCGAGATGAAAGTTTAGAGGGACGGCCGGGTCTTGGTAATAAATTTCATTCCACTTCACGATTGTGTCCCACTTGTTGATTCTTCACAAAAAATAAAAATTTTATATCTTTATGTTTGAAGCCTGAAATGTGGCAAAAGGTTGAAAAGTTCAAGGGGGCCGAATACTTTCGCAAGGTACTGTATATCTGTGCAGCTGTGCATACATCCATAGAGACGGTGTGTACGCTCGTGTTTACCTCTGGTCACTGAGCTAATTATAGAAAGTGGGGCAGATACCGCTTGAGTTTTTTTTTTTTTTTTTATTGGACCGAGTCACTCGTCAGAATAGAGAGGGCATCTTCAGCTGTAGCAACATTATTATTTTGAGAAACCTTTTACCAGTCAACGTCTCAAACTTTAATAATCAAAAGTTTGTTCATAAAAACTTATCTGATGCTGGTCAAGACTAAGCTTTTTTACATTTTACTTACTTTATTCTATTCTTTACACTAGATAGGAAAGTGTGCACAGGTTTTCAGTGGTAACCTATAAGTTCATATTTAAAAATGTATTTTACAATCACAGACATCATCTCTGTTTTGTAAGACTGAGCACGATGACTTTGTATTTTTCTGCTTTCACAGTTGTTTTTAGTTTTCTGGTTGGTTTAAATCCTCTCACAAGCCTGTATTTGGAGACTTCAAGCTCCTAAAGATTATTAAAGTTGTAATGACTCTTGTTTCGTTTTTCAACCACTTACACTAATAGTTTTCTGCTGACATGATTGTTTAATGGTTGTGTCCTTGTGCTCCTGTTTTGTGACTCTTTGAGGTATTTATGTATACTCTTTGAGATATTGTACAAATTAAAGGCAGCTTGCAGCTTGCAGTTGATCCTCATGTGACAGCTTCAGTAATCCAAGCTTCATCACATGGCTTAACATATAAACATCTGCTGTGTCATGCACCAACTAAAACACAACCACAGACTCACAGACAGAATATCAGTGTATTTAATGCTTTATAACAGTTACTTGATTGTAATGACCAAATTCTTTTTCTAAATAACTTTTAGTGGATATTTCAAAACTATGGCTACATGATACAGATATATATTTGAAAAAACAGGAAGAACCTTATAAACGCAGGAACTCGGTCTTCATGATACCCAATTAAATCATGCAGTATTATATTTCTTATGGGTATAAAGAAATGTACTGAAAAATAGTGAGGTGTTTACTCTTTATCTCTCAGAATTTTATTTTATGTCATAATTTTACCACTATGTTTATGTCTGAGTGTGAGGTCTTATGTTTTTGTATGTTTCCATATGTACCACTCCACAGAAGCAAACTTTCTGTTTGTAATCATTTAAACGATTTTCACTGGTCTTATGCCTCTTTTCCACTAGTGCCAGTACAGCATGGTACAGCACGGTAAAGATGTTTTTCCATTACACTCCTTAACGGCTGTAGTGGGTGGGTTCAGAGTTCAAACATTTATGCCACTCGCCTTACCAGCTGGTGGTGGTAATGCTGGTGGTAAGACCTTGAAACAGGTTTCAGTACAGGGTGAGAATT